ATATTCTCAGACCACAATGCTTTAAAACTTGAATTCATTCACAAAAACTTTGAAAGGATCACAATTACATGGAGGTTAATAAGCATCCTGCTAAAGAATGAATGGGCCAACTAGGAAATTAAAGAAGAGTTAAAAAAAATACATGGAAATAAATGAAAATGAAAACACAACAGTTCAGAACCTTTGGGATGCACCAAAGACGGTCCTAAGAGGGAAGTCTACAGCAGTACAGACCTTTCTCAAGAATTAAGAAAAGTCTCAAATACATAACCTAATCTTGCATCTAAAGGAGCTAGAAAAAGAACAGCAAATAAAGGCTGCATCCAGCAGGAGAAGAGCAATAATGAAAATTAGAGCAGAAATCAATGATAGAGAAATTGGAAATGGAAATATGGGAATGGAAAAACCAGTAGAACATATCACAAGGAAACTAGGAGCCGGTTCTTCAAAAAAAATTAATAAGATCGATAAACCCCTAGTAAGACTTAGCAAAAAGAAAAGAGAAAGGGCCCAAATAAACAAAATGATGAGGAGAAACCACAACAAAATGATGGTTGAGAAACCACAACAAAATGATGGTTGAGAAATCACAACCAGCACCGAAGAAATACAAACAACTACAAAAGAATATTATGAGCAATTATATGGCAACACATTAGGCAATCTGGAAGAAATGGATGCATTCCTAGAAACATATAAACTACCAAATCTGAAACAGGAAGAAATAGAACAGAAATAGAACCTGAACAGACTCATAACCAGCAAAGAAATTGAAGCACTAATACAAAAATCTCCCAACAAACAAGAGTCCACTTTGGATGGACTCCCAGTGGAATTCTACCAAGCATTTTTTTTAAAGATTTTATTTATTTATTTAAGAGAGAGTGAGTGAACAAGAGAGAGCACGAGCAGGGGGAAGAGCAGAAGGAGAGGAAGAAGCAGACTCCCCTGCTGAGCAGGGAGCCCAATGACATGGGACTCGATTCCAGGACTCTGGCATCATGACCTGAGCCAAAGGTGGACACTTAACTGACTGAGCCACACAGGAGCTCCCCTACCAACCATTTAAAGAAGAATTAATACCTATTCCTCTGAAACTGTTTCAAAAAAATAAATGAAAGGTAAACTTCCAAACTTGTTCTATGAGGCCAGCATTATCCTGACCCCAAAACCCAAAGACCCCACCAAAAAGGAGAATTACAAACCAGTTTTCATGATGAACGTGGATGCAAGAATTCTTTCCAAGATACTAGCCAATAGGATCCAAAAGTACATTAAAAGGATTATTCACCAGGACCAAGTGGTGGGTTCTAGGGGTGGTTTAGCATTTACTTTTAACAACAGCTTTATTGATATATAATTCACACATTTATTTATTTATTTTTTAAGATTTTATTTTATTATTTATTTATTTATTTGACACACAGAGAGATCACAAGTTGGCAGAGAGGCAGGCAGGGAGAGAGGGGGAAGCAGGCTCCCCACTGAGCGGAGAGCCTGACACAGGGCTTGATCCCAGGACCCTGAGATCATGACCTGAGCTGAAGGCAAAGGCTTAACCGATGAGCTCCCCAGGACCCCCTAATTCACACATTTAAAGTGTACAAGCCAATGGCAACCATCATCACAATCAATTTTAGAATATTAAAAAATTTTTATTATGTTCAATTAGCCAGCATATAGCACGACATTAGTTTTGATGTATAGAATATTTTCATTACCTCAAACCCCAAACTTCCTATTCATCACTATCCAGTCTTCTCCTCCCAACCCTCAGTAACCACTACTGTACTTGTTGTCTTTATAATTTTGCCTATTCTGGACGTTTCATTTAAATGGGATCATGCATTTCATATAAATGGAATAATACAATATATGGTCCTTTGTGACTGGCTTCTTTCACTTAGAACAGTGTTTTCAAGGTTCATCATGTTGTGGCATGTATCAGGATTTCATTCCTTTTTATTGGGGGATAATATTCTTTAAATGGTTATAGCTCTTTATTTATTCCTTCAACAAGTGATGGGCATTTGAGTTGTTTCCACTTTTTGGCTGTTATAAATAATGCTGATCTGAATGTTTGTGTGCAAGTTTTTGGGTGGACATGTTTTCATTTCTCTGGGGTATATACCTAAGAGTGCATCTTCTGGGTCATATGGTATAACTCTGTTTTGAACCTTTTGAGGTACTGCCAGTTTTCCAAAGCAATTACACTGTCTTATATTCTGATCAGTAGTGTATGAGAGTTCCAATGACTGTATCCTTGCCGATACTTGTTATTATTGTCTTTTTAATATATCCATCCTAGTAGGTTTGAAGTCGTAGCTTATTATGGATTCATTAATTGACTTTGAATGTCAATCTGTCCTTCATTCTTCAGATTAATTATACTGTTAGTTATGTATTTCTTTTTATTTATTGATGTATTCAGTTGGTAGTGTTTTGTATCTATTCATGAAGTATATATTGCTCTGTAGTTTTCTTTCTTTGTTTTTGATAGTATTTCTATAGAGGTTTTATAATCAGCTTAATTCTTTGTTCATAAAAACAATCTGCATAGCGGCACCTGGGTGGCTCAGTTGGTTAAGTGTCTGTCTTTGGCTCAGGTCATGATCCCAGAGTCCTAGGATTGAGCCCTATGTTGTTGGGTACCCTCCTCAGCAGGGAAGTTTGCTTCTTCCTCTCCATCTGCCCCTCCCTCTGCTGTGTGCTATCTCTTGTTCACTCTCTCAAATAAATAAATAAAGTTAAAAACAAAAACAAAATAGGCTGTGTAGTATAGCCTCCTTTTTTTCCCTGAAAGCACTATGCAGTACTTTCATGATTTCTTTTTTTTAAAAAAGATTTTATTTATTTATTTATTTGACAGAGAGAGACAGAGAGGGAACACAAGCAGGGGGGAATGGGAGAGGGAGAAGCAGGCTTCCTTCTGCGTGGGGATCCCAATGTGGATTTGGGGCTTGATCCCAGGACTTCAGGATCATGACCTAAGCTGAAGGAACTCGCTTAAGACTGAGCCACCCAGGCAACCCCTAATTTTACTGTGGTTCTTTTCTCTTTTCTCTTCTCTTCTCTTTCTTTTCTTTTATATTATTTGTTTGAGAGGGAGAGGTAGAAAGAGCATGAGTGGGCTGAGGAGCAGAGGGAGAGGTAGAAGCAGACTCCCCGCTGAGCAGGGAGCTGGACACTGGGCTCAATCCCAGGATCTTGAGATCATGACCAGAGCCAAAGGCAGATGCTTAACTAAGGCACCCAGGTACCCTAACTCTAGTTCTTTCTTGATCTTAGTTTAAATGGTTACCAATTTTACTGATTGAGTTTCTGTTAGATGCCAGACATTGCAGATTTTACAATGTATATATACATTGTGAAATCTGCTATATATGTGTGTGTGTGTGTGTATACACATACATATATATATGTATGTATTTTTTTTTTTGTCTTGGATGTAGTGAACTCTGAATCTATATGATGCTTTCAAGACTTGCTTATTTTTCTGGGGCACCTGGGTGGCTCAGTGGGTTAAAGCCTCTGCCTTCAGCTCAGGTCATGATCCCAGGGTCCTGAGATTGAGCCCCGCATCGGGCTTCTCTGCTCCGCAGGGAGCCTGCTTCCCCCTCTCTCTCTGCCTGCCTCTCTGCCTACTTGTGATCTCTGTCTGTCAAATAAATAAATAAAATCTTTAAAAAAAAAAAAAAAAGACTTGCTTATTTTTCTAAGACATACTTTTAAACTTTGATTCAGGCAGTCTTCCGTGTACAGCTAATTTTGTCCCATTAGTGAGGCAATACTCTTCTTATGATTCTACCTTATTATGCTGTAATTCCTTCATTTCCTGCCTATGTATTAGGACATCTTTCAACTCTGAGTGATGGAAACACAAACTATTGCTTTGGAGATTGTTTCACCTATACCTCTGTGGTTGTTCTGTTCCTGGTCTTCATGGTTTTTTTGTCTCACATGCATAGATCAGTACTTATCAAGGACTTGAGGGTACCACTGCAAATCTCCAGAGCATTACACCTATGTAGCTACCTCTTCTTTGATAATCTACTTCATATATTATAGCTGCTTTGGCCTCTCCAAACGCTGAACTCTGCCTCCTCACTCACCAAGACAGCCCGTCTGGTGGTTTCTCCTTCACGGCACTCACTTTTTCCTGCCAGTGAGTTGGGTCATTTGCTTGTTCTTCTTCTTTCAGGGATTACTGTTCTGGACTGATGGTTACCCTAATATTTGAAAACAGGATGTTCCATATATTTTCCCCAATTTTTAGTTTTTAAGGCTGAAGGGCAAATTCTGTTTCTATTATTTCATCAAAGATGGAAGCAGAAATTTTTTTCTCTGGGATTTTGTCCTGCTTATTCCTTGCTATCTTGTCAGTTCTTTGATCCTTTTAAGGATCTAAAAAATATTTCATCTACTGTGTTTAGTTTTTTTTTTTTAAGATTTTATTTATTTATCACAAGTAGGCAGAGAGGCAGGCACAGAGAGAGAGGTGAAAGCAGGCTCCCCGCTGAGCAGAGAGCCCGATGCGGGGCTCAATCCCACGGCCCTGGGATCATGACCTGAGCCGAAGGCAGAGGCCCCAACCCACTGAGCCACCCAGGCGCCCCCTATGTTTAGTTTTTTAAAATGGGAAACTGGTTCAAATAATTCAAATTATTAGAAATGGAAATCTTTACAGTCTTTCCAATTAAAAAATAAAATAGAAAAATACTCTAGGATATCTTCATAAATGTAGAACAGCTGGGTGAGAAAAGGTGGCTAATGCTGTGATTTCTCTAAATAGTCAAAAGGATAAAATAAGGAATCCAAGACATAAAATAGGTAGGCCTGGGTAGAATTCCCAGACATGGCCCAGTTTTGCACGTTATGGATATTAGATGGTACATTACTAATAGACCATTAGGTAGGATTCTTATAGTAGAAAATAATGTAATAAATTGAAAGAAGTCAGACTGTAACAGTTATGAGGTTTTTTTTTTATTCTCACCTAGATATTCTACATTTCCTCATTTCTTTACACCGTCAATTACATCTGGTATCTGTACAAAGAGTTGAGGATGAGACACAACCAGAATGGACAAAGCACATTTCCACTGGTAAGTTTTATTCAGAGTTGATAGTTAAGAACAGTATGCTACCTGGGGTGCCTGGGTGGCTCAGTGGGTTGAGCCTCTGCCTTCAGCTCCAGTCGTGATCTCAGGTTCCTGGGATAGAGGGGCTCTATGCTCTGTGCAGAGCCTGCTTCCTCCCCCTCTCTCTGCCTGCTGCTCTGCCTACTTGTGATATCTCTCTCTCTCTGCCAAATAAATAAATAAATAAAATCTTTTTAAAAAAAGGTATGCTACCCATAATTCCGTGGGCTCACCCCTCCCGCCTTCTTTCCTCTTTGTTTAGTGCCACCATAATGATGTGCATGAATGTCCTGGCACATGCTCTCCAGAGCATTAAAAATGCGGAAAAGAGAGACAAAATCCAGGTTCTTATTAGGCTGTGCTCCAAAGTCATCATCTGGTTTCTCACTGTGATGATGAAGCATGATTACATTGGCGAATTTGAAATCATTGATGATCACAGAGTGGGGAAAATTTTTGTGAACCTCAGGGGCAGGTTAAACAAGTGTGGAATGATTGGTCCCGATTTAATGTACAACTGAAAGATATAGAAAAATGGCAGAATAACCTGCTTCCTCCCCACCAGTTTGCCTTCATTGTACTGACAACCTCAGCTGATATCATGGACCATGAATAAGCAAGATGAAAACACACAGGAGGGAAAATCCTGGAATTCTTTTTCTTTCTTTTTTTTTTTTAGAATATTTTATTTATTTATTTGACAGAGAGAGAGATCACAAGTAGGCAGAGAGGCAGGCAGAGAGAGAGAAGGGAAGCAGACACCCTGCTGAGCAGAGAGCCTGATGCGGGGCTCAATCCCAGGACCCTGAGATCATGACCTGAGTCAAAGGCAGAGGCTTAACCCACTGAGCCACTCAGGTGCCCCTGGAATTCTTTTTCTAGGGGTTTAATACATATGTACAAATAAAATGCCTCAATGGAAAAAAAAACAGTATGCTGAAACAAATCCATATATCCTTGATAAACAGTGCAAGCACTCAGGACTGAGTTGGTGAATTCATGGAGCTTAATAAAAGAGAAGTCATGTTCTCACAGAGTTTCCATTCTGTTGAAAAGATTTCCTCTTCTCTCTTGCCATCAAAAAAATAAAAAGGTTTTGATTATAGGAAACATTATTTGCAGTACTGTCATTACTGCCTGGTTCCATCCTTCTTAGCCCCATGCCAATCCATCATTGTTGCTAGTGTAAAGAATAAGATCTTGGGTAGAGTCAGGGAAGGTGCTCAGTATGCTCACATGGGATTTGGGCTCCAGGCGTTGGAAAGGGAGAATGTCTGTTTTGCTCTGCTATATTTCTTCAATATGTGTGGATAACAGAGATGCTGGTTTGTAGAAGGGCAGAGGGGCTCATGTGTGGTAATCAGAAAACAAGGTGGATCCAGGGAATAGTTGTCTTCCCTTCTTTGGTTCAAAGAGAGTTTGGGGCACTGTCTAGTATGACATTTATAAAAGAGAGGAGAACACCAAGTGCATGTGGATTTTTTGTGTGTGCATACATATTTTACTTATCACATAATTCATTTATTTTAAGTTACAATCCAGTGGTTTCTAAAGAAGACTTACTATCTTGTAAAATAATATCATAAATCAGTTCCAAAATATTTTCTTCACCCTAATCGAATTCTTCATGCCCATTTATTGTTAATTTCCTACCCACCCCCTGTACTAGGGAACTGCTAATCTAATTTCTGATTCTGTAGATTTTCCTTTTCTGGACATTTCATATAGATGGAATTATCCAATATATATTCTCTTGTGTCTGATTGATTTCATTTATAAGCTTTTGAAGTTTATCCATTATGGCATATGTAAGTCATTCATTCTTTTTTTAGTGCTAAATAGTATTCCATTGTATAGTACAATCAGTTTCTTATTCCTGATTCTTTTGGTATATCACTAAGTGATCTTGGTAGAAAACATTTGTGGGGCGGCTTGGTGGCTCGGTTGGTTGTGTCTGCCTTCGGCTCAGGTCTTGATCCTGGGGTCCTGGGATTGAGCCCCACCTCAGGCTCCCTACTCTCTCTTCCCCTTCTTCCTGCTCATGCTCTCTCACTCTCTCTCAAATAAATAAATAAAGTCGTTTTTAAAAAAAAAAACATTTTTATGATGTTAGCAATTTTCATTTCTTTGGCTGTCATTATATATTTTATCTTATTGTATAAATCTTACTAAATATTCCAGTTTTCTTATTTCTATAGTATCCATTCTATTGTGGTTTTTAAAAAGAGTTTATCGGGGCGCCTGGGTGGCTCAGTGGGTTAAGCCTCTGCCTTCGGCTCAGGTCATGATCTCAGGGTCCTGGGATCGAGCCCCCGCATCGCGCTCTCTGCTCAGCAGGGAGCCTGCTTCCTCCTCTCTCTCCGCCTGCCTCTCTGCCTACTTGTGATCTCTCTCTGTCAGATAAATAAATAAAATCTTTAAAAAAAGAAAAAATCTCATCTTTTAAAAAAAATAAAATAAAATAAAAAGAGTTTATCTTTAAGTGATCTGTGTGGCCAACATGGGGCTTGAACCTACAACCCCGAGGTCAAGAGTTGCATGCTTCACCAACTGAGCCAACCAGACACCCCTGTTTTGGTTTTTTTGAAGGGGATTTTTTGTTTAAGAGCATCATGGAGTAAATTAATCTGGAGAACTTACCCACATACCTTTCTCTAGAGCCTACAGATCAGTTCTAGACTTAATGAAAGTGGTATACTATCATATGCATGATGAAACTCAATAAAAATTTGTTGAATGAATAAATGGTACTATTATCAGTAAGTTTTTTTTTTTTAATCAGATATTCATTGACAGTAAGGTAAGAACAAGAATTAAAAACAGTTTAGCCTGATGGGTAGAGGATAGAATAAAAAGGGAAGAAGGGACACAGGTAGGAGAGGTCACCCAAGATTGATTTTACTTTTCTCATTTTACTTAAAGTCAACAGTGACTGTTTTACTTGAAATCATTTACTCTTTCTGATCCATAGTTTTTAGGGCAAATCAATTACCTATCTCTGATTATTGATTAACTGCTCACTTAATGCTTATTGATTTTTAACAATGCCATTCTAAAGATTTATTTATTTATTTATTTGACAGAGATCACAGGTAGCCAGAGAAGGAAGGGGGAAGTAGACTCCCTGCTGAGCAGAGAGCCCGATGCGGGGCTCAATCCCAGAACCCCGAGATCATGACCATGAGCTGAAGGCAGAGGCCTTAACCCACGAGCCACCCAGGTGCCCCTAACAATGCCATTCTAGAGTATAATAGGATCTCTTACCTCAGAACAGAAAAAAGCTGTTTTCTAGTCTATTCTCACTTTAAGGTGTTCTATTCAAATTCTTTTATCATAAACTTCCAGTGGGTAGATAACATTCTTCTATAAATTATTTTTCATTGTCTAACACAACTGGGGGTGTTTGGAATCTTCTTTCTTCTAGAGTCTAATAGATGTTATATCCAAAGGGCTTATTTGACCTCCCTCCTTTATGCTAATCCTGGCCTATTAAGCTTTCTGCTGGTCATTTTATACATAGACTTCTGCTCCACCCTTAAGGTCTGAAAAGTCCACACCTCCCTGGATCTAAAAGAGAATAGGATTGAATTGTTATTAGAAGATGGAGGAGTACTGTATGATTTCATATTTACCTTTCTTTTTTAATGAATTTGTTGTGGTATCCAAGTCTTATATTAAGCTACTTCCCACAGGCTTTCCTTGTGGCTATTGTTGCTGTTGTACTTTTTAGATTATAGTAATAGAGATAAAATTCTCTGGTCTCCAGTGCTAAGGAACTATCTATTTAATTGAGTTTTGTAGCAAATATTGCTTCACAGAAGCAGGCTCTTGGGAATTTTTGTTCGTACAAGTGATAAGTAATGACCTGATATTTATTTTATTATGATTGACAGTATTCTAAGACTTTACTCATATTTATTTTTTTCACAGGTTATAGATTATACTTGTCACGTTGGTCAAATAGCCATCATTTTGTCAAGGTAAGGTATGCTTTCCTTTCTAGCAAGGTGTAAACTCATTATTCTGTGGTCTAGGTGAGAACAAATAGGACAGTGCCCTTCATTTCCATAGAGTCTATCACTCCTAGGTCCTCACAGAGCCTTACTGAGTTGGAAGCAACAAACATATGATCATTGGAACCATATTCCCAGGTAGAATAGGCAAGCAATTTTAGATTCGGATTTTAACCTTAATTCTGCCATTAACTCTGTGTGATCTTCAACAAATATTTCGCTTTAAGTCTTTGGACTTCTAATTCCGTTTTATATCATAAAGAGTTTTATAACAGATAGCTTTCAAGATCTCATCCACCTTTATAACACTGGGTGAGAGTCTTGGAACTATTTACCCTCAGAAGAGTCTGGATCTCACCTAATGTAGTAGTCATGTCAGAGTTGACATTAGAGTTTATAACTTTTATTTCTGGATCTTTCCCTCTTATAGGGAGCTGGCTGTATTTAGCTGGATTAATAATTGGTTATTTAAGTGTATGCTTTGAAAAAGCTCCTAGAAATGGGGTGATGAAAATTAAGTTATTCCTGGTGGCCATGGAAAGTTAGCACACAACTCCCTGTTAGGTTTTTTCCTTTCACTTTGATCCACACCCAAAGACTCTCTGACACTATTGTAGGGCTCATTAATTTAGGTATGAAATGCATTCTCCACTCCACTTACCCATCAATTGGACAAAAAGTATACATAAGGTTTGTTTTTTTTTTTTTTGACAGAGAGATCACAAGTAGGCAGAGAGGTAGGCAAGAGAGAGGGGGAAGCAGGTTCCCTGATGAACAGAGAGCCCGATGTGGGGCTCGATCCCAGGACCCTGAGATCATGACCTGACCCAAATGCAGAGGCTTTAACCCACTGAGCTACCCAGGCACCCCTATACATAAGGCTTTTGAGGCATTTTTCTTGAAATTATATATATATAATTTCATATATATATGAATATATATTCTATTATATAATATATTTATATGTTATATATAATGTATTATATATATAATGTATTATATATAATATATATGTATTTGTGGAAAGTGGAGGGGTGATGGAGTTGGGAGAAGAACAGAGTATTTTGTGATGGGGAAAGGCCATAAAAATGCCGGACTATTAGGGTGATGTTTTTTTTTTTCCCTCCCAGCCTGATACCTCTTCTGTTAATGATACCCGTATTCTGTCTGGGCAATGTTAGTGAATGTTTCCACAACTTCAGCCAGAGCCACAGGTAAGCAAGGACCAAATCTATCATTTCTGTGGTAGACTGTACCTTTTCTTTTCTATATATAGAGATGGAAAAGACTTTCTACATACATTCTGGCCAAGTTGCTTGTATTTGGAACAAGGTTGTATGGAACCTTGGTAGAGTCTATAGAACAAGGTATAATCAAGGCAAAAAATGCATAACGAGGAATATAATGTGAAGTGACTGGAAGATAATGTATCTATAAAGAAGGAATAAGGTATTATGGGCCAGGGTTAGCAGAATGGTAAGTAAAATTGCATACTTAATAAATTTTGTTTTACCAAATGTGTATCTCTCTAGTGTCATATCTGTAATAGTGGTCCTGTCCATTGATTCTCCTCCTAGGTGTATTCTGATGTTCTCACCACCATCAGCCATGGCTGAACTGCCTTCTGCCAACACATCCGTCTGTAGCACACTTTATTTTTATGGGATCACCATTTTCCTGACCAGCTTTCTCCTCAGCCTCCTCACCATTGTGGTATGGTGCCATCTGCTCTTATGGAAAGAGAGGGGATTGGGAGGGATGGGACGTTATTCCCAGGGACTGGGAAAAATGGGATGAAGAGGCATTTCCTAAAGTCTTAGAACTAAGAAAGTAGCTAAGAGATAATTGACAGTTTAATTACTACCTCAGTATTTGGACTTCCCAAGATTAAATGATTGGGGGGGAAAGAGTCTCTAGTCATTATGTGAGAATTGTGCTTACTCTAGGACTAATTAATATATGTTCCTGTGGATCCTCATGGAAGACCAGACCAGAAAATTAGTATATGTCAAGTATACTGTATAGTATATGTCAAGTATAATGCTCTAGAACATTGGAAATGTGCTGTGATTTAATTTGATTATTTTCCAAATAATGAGGGAATTTTTGCTAGTGCAGCTGGCACTTGTGAACAAAATAAAATTATGGAGAATTTCCTAAATTGTGGAGATAGCTTAGCTCAAATCAGCAACTTTGTAAAGAGGGCGAAATGAATAGTTTATATTAAGGTGATTTTGATGATCTTCACTTAGAACTAATTGACAAGAGAGGCAGGTATCCCATAGCCTGGTACCCTGGGGATTCTTTTTTTTTTTTTTTAAGAATTTATTTATTTATTTGACAGAAAGAAAGAGACATCGAGAGAGGAGATCAGGCAGGGGGAGTGGGGGTGGGGAGTTGGTGGGGAGTGGGAAGGGGAGAAGCAGGCTTCCTGTAGAGCAGGACCCTGGGACCATGACCTGAGCCACCCAGGTGCTGCTACCCTGGGAATTCTTGATTGCTTTTTTAAATAATGCAATCTTCAGAACTGATTCTACTAGACATTAATATTCCCAAATAAGTAAAAGCCTCCTTTTGATTCCTGTGTCTGTGGGGAAATGAAATTACATGGCTAAACTTAATTAAATAATTGGCTTATTAACTTAGAGAGTGGGTCTGGATGATTAGGGAGAATTTTAGATTTGTCAGATTTGTTACCAAGATTATTACCTAATTTACTCCCCACAGAAAGCATATTGGAGTTCTGAACTGATTTATATTTGTTTCATTAGCTTATATAGAGAGCCCCAGATGGAAGGGGAAAACAGTCCCCTTTTCCATCTAAGGTCAAGAAGAGACTTCCTAAAACTTTATTTTGCTTTGAGTTGAGAATTTCAGCTCAGCCATGGTGCTGATGTATTTATTTTAAGGGTATTAAGCACAGAATACTTTCTAACACAGGCTCTAGTAAAGCATTTTAAAAGAGGGCCTGGTTAGATCTTAGCTTTAACTTCCTATATATACCGTGATTAGCCTCAGTTGCTGGGGGAGCGGGGAGCCTGTGAGTTGATGTAAAGTTTATGTATTGAACACAGTAACCACAGGTTTGGCTAATATCTATCCATTTCCCCTGCGCTAAAAAAGTTCACTCTGAAGATGATTTTCTTTCAGAAAAATCCAGTCTTAGATGGTAAAGACAGGAGAACGAGTTTTCCTGCTGTCAGATCCTGAGAGAAGTGATCCCCCTACAACAATAGGAAGCTAGAGCTAGGAAGTTTTACCAAGCCTCAGGCGAACTACTCACTGATGTACCCCTGTTTAGGTCTTACTCATCCAAGCCCAGACCCTTTATAAAAAGTTTGTGAAAAAAACTGGCTTCCTGGGGAGTGAACAGTGGGCAGTGATTCACATTGTGGAGCAGCGAGTACGCTTCTACCCGGTGGCCTTCTTTTGCTGCTGGGGCCCAGGTGGGTATCTTAAAAGGAAGAGCTGGGTAATAATGAGGACACCTATTGGGTTCTGATGAAGCAAAGTGGTCTCACCAAGAAGAATGACTGCAACTTGTAAAATTCCCGTCCAACTGTAAAATCTATGTTGGTCCCACTTTCTTCTTTTTCTTCCTGTGTTTTAGAAATTAAGGTAATTAGACATGAGATGCAACCTAAGAGAGGAAACATTCTGATAGAGTTCAGAGATACTACCTGTCCCTCCTAGTACACAAAATATAGTGAAGATCAGATTGGATAGTGCTTATGAAAGATCTTGGTGAATTCTGAAGCACCAAGAAGTGTAACTTATCTCCCCATAGTGTATCTTTTTTTTTTTTTTTAAAGATTTTATTTATTTATTTGTCATAGAGAGAGAAGCGAGAGCGAGCACAGGCAGACAGAGTGGCAGGCAGAGGCAGAGGGAGAAGCAGGCTCCCTGCCAAGCAAGGAGCCCGATGTGGGACTTGATCCCAGGACGCTAGGATCATGACCTGAGCCGAAGGCAGCTGCTTAACCAACTGAGCCACCCAGGCATCCCCCCATAGTGTATCTTAACCAACATTGCTAAACTGTAACCTGCAAAGTTTAGTCAGCGAGGAATGGAAGTTGGAGACTGGAGGCCCAGTGGTTCATGTTACTGGTTAATCTCATTCCTAGTCTTCATTATGCCTGTACCCTTATTTCTCATGGTGCGTAGGCATGTATACTGGGGGATTTTTGTAAAGATTTTATTAGAGAGAGAGAGCATAAGCAGTGGGAGTGGCAAGCAAAGGGAGCCCCATGCAGGACTCAGTCCCAGGACCCTGGGATCATGGCCTGAGCTGAAGGCAGATGCTTAACCGACTGAGCCACCCAGGTGTCCCTATACTGGGGAATTTTATGCTCAGACAGGTAGGGCTGGCAAGAAAATTTATACTTCGTGTTTTCACAGCTGTCATTCTGGTGATCATAAAGTTGACCAAGCCACAGGACATGAAGATTCACATGGCCCTCTGTGTTCTCCAGGTAACACCTTCAGTATCCATTTTTACACTCTCTTATCCTGTTCTCTTACACTGACATTACTCAGTAAGCACAGTTTTTTCCCTTAGCATATTTATTTCTGTGTTGCAAAAAAAGAAAATGTATTATTTATATTCAGTTATGAAAAGTGTGAAGTTTTCCTCACAGATGAAGTAGATACTTCTGTGAAAGTGCTGCCATGCGTTCCAGAGCACATGTATCTCTGGTTAACTTCATTTTATTGGTGTGTTTTTAAGGATGGGTAACAAAAAACCAAAATCTACCAGATAATGTTTTTATGAAACACTGATAGTGACATAATTCTCTCCCACCCAAAGCGAATTGAATGGGGTAAATTAGCTATTCCAGGTAAACGAGGAGAGAGGAATACAGAAATAGAACAGTTCTCTCTTTTCCTCTTTTATTAGACTTATGAAGCTTTTTTGGGGGTTATCTGATTATACTGATAGGGCATATTCCTCAAGCCTGACCTGGGAAATGGGGGAAATAAGAAAGGGGATTGAAATCCATTCATTTTCGTTATGTATGTGCCAAGAAGTATGACCGACCCTCAGTCATCCATAACAAGGTACGGTGCAAAGAGTGAGTTCAGGAAGAGCTAGAATGGGATGAAATCAGAGAGGTTGACAAACCATGAGAGTCGGGACCGTGAAACAAACTGAGGGTTACAGAACAAAGGAAGGGGGTGGGGGGATGGGGTAACCGGGTGATGGGTATTAAGGATGGCATGTGTCATGTTGAGAACTGGTTGTTATATGCAACTAATGAATTGTTGAACACTATATCAAAAACTAATGATGTACTATATTTTGGCTAATTGAGCATAGTAAAAAAAAGAGCTAGAAAAATATGAAAAACTGACACCAGATTTTGCTGTTTGAGATAAAACAAATATAACAGTTCTTTATAAATAAGGGGAATGGGGACAATTCCCTGGATCTCTGAAAACCTGAAGGATGGGTTCCATCACTTCATCTCCTCAGGCTCTAACAGCATCATCCCAGGGTCTTCTCAACTGTGGAGTATATAGCTGGACACAATACAAGTTCTACCAACTAAAGCAACAGGCTCGGCGTGATGCAGACACCCAAACACCATTATTATGCTCACAGAAGAGATTCTATAGCAGGGGCCTAGATACAATGGAGTCTGCCCTTGGTTTTGATACCAGCCCTCCACCATTCTTTGAAACTGTAATACTGGAACATCCAGGAACCAGAATTATTCCACATTAATGGATTAAGAAGAGTGTTGGGGAGCAACATCTCACGTCTTTCCAACCATGCCTTAAACTATGGAAGTGAAAGAGGATGTAGTGCTGTGGTTAGTAGCTTTTCTTGGTGAATTGGGCAGGATCTCTCTGTTATTCTCAGATTCACTAAAGTCTTTGTTCAGAGAGGTAAAGCCACCTTCCTTCTAAGAGATAGACTCCTATCACCTCAGTGAATACTATATTTGTTTAAATCTCTTCTGGATAATTTCCAAGTTATTACTTATATGTGCCATTTCCAGGCTCTCTACTCTGTGGTCGTGTGGGAAGTAGGGTGGCATGCAGCAGCTTGCTCAGATTTTGCTAGTATTGTTATTCTCTCTGAAGTTGGACAAAGAAAGTCCTGGGTGTCTGTTCTTTGAAGAGTTTTTGAAACTCAGAAGAATCAAGGACAGTAACTACCAAAAAACTGACAGTGGGATCCTCAGGTATATCCTACTCTCTTATTTGTTCAGTGCTGTTCTAAGTCTTGACAGTAGGAACCATCTGCTCTAGGAAATTAAGGCCAATCTCCTGAAGTTACAAGGGATAATACGATCTAAGAGAAATCAGGGTTAAAAGAAACTTTAGGTATCAAAAGCTCTCAACTCCCATTTATAAGCAGAAGTCCAAAGGTAGGTTTCATAGTCCCTGGACATAGAATTAGATTGAACCATATGAACTTAGCATTTTTGTAGGTGAAAATGACCTAATATCATCAATTTTGCATGGTTTAACCTAATGGTAGGTGCTCGATGTATCTTTATAGAATAAATGAATGAATAAGTGAATGAATGGCTAGAAAGAACCTTTTGGGAAAGAAAAGATTCCCAGACTGCAGAGCCTCATTCACTAGCAAGAATGTCTACCTATTTCTTCTTCCCCCTCCCCTCTCCTCCTTCATCCTCTTCCTCCTCCTCTTCTTCTGAAAGATTTTATTTATTTATTTGAGAGAGAGAGTGCAAGCAGTGGGTGGAGCAGAGGGAGAGGGACAAGCAGACTCTATGCTGAGCATAGAGCCTGACACAGGACTCGATCCCAGGACGTTGATATCATGACCTGAGCTGAAACCAAGATTCAAACACTTAACTGACTGAGCCAGCCAGGCACCACCCTTCTTCTTTAATCACACAACAAGTGGTGTTTGATCTCTTCAGTTAAGTTATGAACAAAACCAGTCTGAGGCCAGGGCATCAGATATTATGATATCAAAACAAAGAGGAAAAGCCAAATGGACAAAGTGGCTGGAATGACAATCAACTAAAACACCTGGAACTAATAATGAGATGCTTCACACCTGATATACTCCTTTGGTCCAAGGAAAAATCCTCAAGGTAGAGATAATTGACAGAGTAGATTACAATGGTGAATTAGATAGGATACTATGAAACGTAAGTTCCAGAAATCACTCCGAAGGAACTCTCTGTAGAAATGTTAGGGAGATCAGTAACAGATCTTTAGGTTTGAGGCCATGAGCTTCACCCTTGCTGTGGAGGGTGACCTGGCCTTGTTATGCCAAGATCACATCTTGAGGCCTGTCATTGCCCCATAGTTCTGGAAACCTGATTTCTGGGTAGCACAGAACAACAAAGATTGCTTCACATAGGGAGCTTCTTTAAATTCTTTTAATTTAAAAAATGAGTAATATTAACATTTGGGGTGGCAGATGGAAAAAAAATTCCTATTTCCTTAGACCTTGAGGGACACCAGAACTATGGAGTTTGATTCTTAAAAAGTTTTTTTAGTGGGGTACCTGGGAAGCTCATTCGGTTGGGCATCTGACTCTTAATTTCTGCTCAGGTCATGATTTCTACATCATGGGATTGAGCCCCACACCAGGCTCTACGCTCAGTATGGAGTCTGCTTCTCCCTCTCCCTCTGCTCACGCTTGCTCTCTGTCTCTCTGTCTCTCTCTCTCTCACAAATAAATAAAATATTTTTTAGAAAGGTCTTTTTTGTATCACTTCATATTTGGCTTTATTATCAGAAAGAAGATAATGATGAAATGTTTTTCAGGTTTGTTCATCTGCTTCTCTGATGAATTTTTTGCACAGACACTGGTCTTAGATCTTCTATGGGTGTAAGTAAACAAAAACGCAATAGGAATGAGAGATAGTAAAAGCCTAGGCAAGATCCAGATTAGGATTATAAACTTTTTGTCATACTGAGAGTCAGAGCAGACACATGGAGCTGGGCCACTATTCAAACTGCCCCAAACCCCTAGATTCACATGTAGGAGGGGTATGGATGTAGACACAGTGATATTCATAAAATTATTGCAAATACCCCTCCATGACACTTGTCCAGGTTGTAGTCATAGTAGAGTATAGAGGTATCTAAGCAGGTTTGATTAATATAGATCTGTAAATGATGTTGGGTACCATCCCTCTCAACAGCTCTGTCTGTGACTTCAAAAAATTCTGCACTCCAATACCACTTGTCCTACATGGGGAACTGGGTAAGGTTTGATGTTTTTTAATTCAGTCAACAGCCTTTCACATTTTGCAACTTTCCAGGCTACCTTTTTGTCCTTTCCAAAGAATTTAACACACCAATTCTCCAGGCTTCAGCACCAGCTGGTAATAGTAACCTGTTCTTTGTAAGGAACGCCATCTTCCTTGTATCTGACTGGCATTACCTGGAAATGCCATTACAGTGTTCTGGGACGTCACACTCATCTCCTCTGAGGCAGCAGGGTATAGAAATATGCTGGTTTTTTAGAAGGATCCCAAATGTGCTATCTGAACCTTCCTTCGCTGGCATGAAGACAGTAGTGATCCTTTTAATAACCAAGGATGCTGCCACAATCACATTCTTTTCCCTTATTAACTGTCTTTTCTTTTTCCCCAGTATGGCTTTCCAAAGGAGCTTTGGAGCTCAGGTTTTTTTAAACAGGCTATACCCTCTGTGCTTATGCCGCAGTCAGTGGAAGTAGTCAATGGTGCAGTTGCTGAAGCCCTTATCTACAGTAAGAAATTCATTCAGAGGTCAGAGGTTCTGGCCATGACACTTGCAGGCCCACATGGCCATGCTTCATTCCCAAGTTTTGGCCAAGCTTGTGAGCCATAAAAGCTGTAAAATGTGTTATATTTTTATGACAGAAAGATTCAACACTGGTTGAATTCTTAGCAATGCAGATTCCACTAAGAAATGCATGGCTCGGGGCGCCTGGGTGGCTCACTGGGATAAGCCGCTGCCTTTGGCTCAGGTCATGATCCCAGGGTCCTGGGATCCAGCCCCACATCGAGCTCTCTACTCAGCAGGGAGCCTGCTTCCCTCTTTCTCTCTGCCTGCTTGTGATCTCTCCCTGTCAAATAAATAAAAAATAAATAAATAAATAAAATAAAATAAAATAAATGCATGGCTCTGGTACTTCCCAGGACTTTGGCCAATGATCATATGAATGACATTATGCCTCACTCTTCTCAAAAGATGCCATTCTCTCTAGCAGTTAAAATTTTGAAGTGTTTCTTGCAAATTCAGGGAGATTTTTCACTAGGTTTCTTTCTGTCTATATCTTTAACCCAGTAAATAATACTGGGTTACAGTACATTTAGTTTCTCCTTGTACCTGTTAACATGAACATCTGTTACCATCTGTATTGTCTTGGTAGCATTATTATTCCACACTTGAAACTGCATACTGTCAACCACAGTAAACATTTCTGCATACTTGGGTAGTGACCACATATACGACATTGAAAAGGAAGAGGGTTCTATTTTGCTCTGAAATTGTGAAGTGGTTAAGAGCCCCTCTTGTTTATCTCCACTCACTGTACAAGAATAACCTGATTTTAAAGATATGCTGAAAACCATATGCCCCAAATTCTTTGAAGTATAGATGGTCTTGATGCCAAAGGCAGTGTCATATACCCCTGAGCAAGTACTGATAGTCACAGAGAATGCAATTCACCCTCTGAACATCCATTTATCCTGAGTAAAAGGTATGTCTAAGCCTAGTATCCCATTTTGATGTGTATAAACGTGGTAGTTCTTGATAAATAATCCTTTCTTTTGCTTCATATTAATAAGAGGCCATTTTGCTTGTATGAGCAGAATATAGGACATTTTTTCTGCTTTTTCTTTCAGAAGTTTGAATATCATCAAGTTGCTAGGGATGACTGTTTTATAATAAAGAGATTTCCATTTACAATGTACCCCTTGAAGAATAGTCATTATCAGCTGTAAAGATGTCATGCAGCTTAATGTAGGAAGGGCTTATTCTTAAGTGCCCATTCAAGAATTCTTGGAAGAAAAATCATTCTAAACCTTACCCATGACCACTTGATTTCATAGAAGGAAGAGCAAAAGGGAGGCAAAGTAACTACAGTTGTCATTTTCATGGCCCAGTTGAAACAACTAATAGTCTTATACCTCTGTCTCAGTTGCCTTGCCTGAGATCCATATCTTTGTCAGTGACACAGTTTGGTTACAGCTCAAAGCTTTGCTGCCTGTTGCAAGGATAGCTGTTCCCATCCTGAGAGTTACAAGATGACATCTGTAGTTTGTGCCTCTTCCTACTCCTTTTGTGGTCTCTCTTCTCAGGAGTGCCCTAATTTTGCAACCTTCATGAAAGCACAAAATTTTAGTGCTGCTTAATTGAGCTCCTGCTGTCTTCATAGAGGAGTGTACCAAGGAAAACTTCGTACAGAGAGGAAACTTTCAAAGGTCCTGCCAGTATTATGACTCAGGATCACACACCAAGAAAAGAAAAAGCTATAACCTTATTCGTTTAGTCCCAGTCCCCATGGAAGTCTTCCTCTCCTGTCATTCATTGTTCTTTTGAGTCATTGAAACCACAGGTTTCCAGAGCAGGGGTTTGTAGATCTCTGGGTAGGTCATATTTTGCACCATCCCTATTCTGAATCATTCAGCTGTTTTCAAACCTCCAGTTCCTTTTCCTTTCTTTGTCACAATATTTTTATTGGCTAATTCCTAGAATACATGTAAAGTATTAGAGTAACCCATGCCTCTGTGAAAAGCATATATGTAAACTGAAAAATAATATTTGTATTCAGTTCTTTTTTCTCTTTAGCCTTACAGTATGAGGTCAAAATAATGTTTTCTAGAATTATCTAGGTTATACTTCTTTATCTAAACTTATTCGGCATGGTGATATTACTCATTTTGAATACAGCTAAGTTCGTGTATTACTGTTTGTATTTCATTTTGGGCTTTCCCCCACATTTTGGATGATGATGATGATTTTTGGCATATGTGAAATATTACCATGATTCTAAAACTCAGTAGTATACTGAAGAAAGTATGCAGAGTATACCTCCTTGAGCCTTTAATCTGTTCCGTGTCCTACTTCTTTCTACCCAGCTCCCAACCACCTATCTTAATAGTACTTAGTTTATTTTTCCTCTCTTTCTGCACAAACTAGTAAATGCATGTATATTTTCTTGTGTCCTCCTCTCTTTTTTTAGGATTTTATTTATTTGAGAGAGAGAGAGTGTGTGCATGAGAGAGTGAGCATGAGTGATGGGGAAGGGTAGAGAGAAAGGGGAAGCAGAGAGGAGAAGCTCAGCAGGGAGTTTGATGTGGGGTTCAGTCCCAAGTCCCTGGGATCATGATCTGAGATGAAGGCAGATGCTTAACAAACTGAGCCATTCAGGCGTCTCTTTCCTCTTCTTTCTTATATAAATGTAGCATAACATTTTGCATTTTCCTCTTTAAACTTAAAGATACATCCTGTAAATAATCCCATAGCAGTTCAGTGAGAGCTTCTTCATTCTTTCTTTTTCATAGCTGCATAATAAATACTCTATTTTATGGATATAATTTATTCAATCACTCTTCTCTGTATGGGCTTTTGAATTGTATATATTGTTTTGAAATTACATACAACACATCAACAAATAATCTTGCATGTATGTATTTTTGTGGAGGCACGTTCCTTCACAAAATAGGGAAGCAGTGCCTCTG